AGAATGGGAGGAGGGACTGGTAAGGAAATGTAAGTCCCGCAAAGTTTGCAGAGTAAAGAGCCTCTTCAACCACATGCATTAACTCAGCAAGTTAGGACTTTTGCTCTGTCAAATTGCTAAGCTACCCATGGGGGACATCCACTTTGGGAGGCACTCAAGTCATACACTCTGATCCACAAAATCATGGCTGGACTTTGTATGGTCCTTCCTCTACCAGTGTCGTGTAGGATCTGAAAATGCCATCCATGGCTCAGCCTACTTGGCCTCCTATGTCATTGGTAACCGACTAAGCATGAAAGAAGCTACATTATACAGAGAGAACAGCTGTGCCCAAACAATATTAACCAAAGTGTGGGAATTAAAGTGCTTCTCTCCTTCCCATGTCAGAGATTGAAAACAGGGACATATAACCCAATGCAATTCATTGTTTTGATATTGAGTCCTAGTAAAGTATTCAGATGAAGGTAGTATTTCTCATCAAGTAAGGGGCTCATATACCAATCTTTTATTGAACAAAGGACTGAAAAGCATATCATCAGAAAATGGATATCCTTGTGACTATCTTCCTTGTCACTAGCATTCTAACTATAGCTGTATATCCCAGTCCCCCAAAAGGAGTGAACACCTTCCCTCATAATTGATTTTCTTTCTACCCACATGTTTGCTAAAAGGCATGGGGACCTAATGAATAGCAGGGGTAGCAGTCCTATTCTCATAAAAGCTTGTCATTTTTGTGCCTGGCTTATCACTATTCCCTGGGTTTGGAGAATGATATTGTATCCTTAAAAGAGGGACAAGACCTGTTATCCTATAGTGTAATGTGTAAACTGCTTTCAGACAGTAGTGTAATTCCTTTAAAAAGTTACACTTACACCATGGCTGGTTTGATTCAGTGGATAGAGCATCGGCCTGCAGACCAAAGGGTCCTGGGTTCAATTCCAGTCAAGGGCACGTACCTTGTTTGCAGGCTCCTCCCCGGCCCGGGGCCCTGGTCGGGGCTCATGTAGGAGGCAACCAATTGATGTGTTTTGCTCATATCGATGTTTCTCTCTGTCATTCCCTCTCTCTACCACTCTCCCTATAAATTAGTGGAAAAAATATCCTTGGGTGAGGATTAACTAAAAAAAAAAGTTACATTTACAACTAAAAGAGTGCTATTACTCTTCAAATGTAAGGATAATGCTACTATTTTAAAACATTAGGGGTGGGTTGCTACTGAGCCATTCACATGTTTTTATTCTTTATTTTTTCTTATAACAAATACTTATTGAGCCACTGCTATTATACAAGAAGTACTGGGACCTGTGGGTATAAACATAAATAAGAATTTGCCTCTCATACATGGGTTTCCATTATAAAATGTTTGCAGAATATTTAAAAAATAAGTCTATCCACCAAATACAGTTTTAACCCTATCTCCAACCAAGATAACCAAAAGTTATTAGCATCAAATTAATGGCCATGGCTCTTATTCCTACTTATTTTTGCATGGTCAATAGCAGGAGGAATAACTCTTAGGTCTGGGCTCCCTCTACGTTAGTAACAGAAAAAAATATGGTTCATTAAATGTTTTGAAATATAGTACTAAGGAGTATCCCAGACAAATCAATAGATAAGACCTTCATCGTTCACAAATTAGAAAACATCCCACACTGCCTTCTTGTCTTGTCAGTACCATTTCCCCGCATTATATCAAGAGTAATTTTCATACAGCTTCTGAATATAGCTGATGTGAAAAATGAGTAAAATAAATTACTCCTTGAAATTATATGTTTCCTAGTTTTAACTGAGCTACAGCTTAACAGCTTAACTCAAAAATAAAAGCTAGTACAGGTATTCACTCAATCTTTTAAAGTCTGCTTTATACCAAACCAATTTAGTGTATAAATATAGAATTTAATTAAAATACTATATATAAAATATTAACAACTACAGTTATTAAAATTACATTAAACTCCCTTGAGCTTGGCCAACATAATATGAGCTTTCTTTCTTTTTTTTTCAATTTAGTAAAGGGCAGAACTTGGTTTAGTGAATAAGTTTTGGTTTTTATATTGTTTGTTCCAGTTCACTAATCTAAATTATAATCATATAAAAGTACTTTGCCATGAAAACAACACCAAACATAGTAACTTAAATTTTCCATTGGATTCCAACAAAAATCTCATGTTTTATTTGTTTTCTTTCTTAGCCCTCTTTGAAGACATCTCTTTCTTCTTCCCATCTAGCTTTGACCTTTTCCAATGAGGGTATAAAAAGGACAGTTAATAAATTTTTGGTAATTTGAATCAATTAAAGAACTTTAAACAGAAAAAGTAGATTTTATTATGCTTGTGGATTAAAGTATCTATCTGATCCTTATTGTACTAGGTCACCCAAAGAACTTGGGGAAACTATTTAGATTGTATCACCACTTATGTCTGGAAAGAGTCAGATAGTTACCAAACTAATCATGGTGATAACTGCATAAGATATATAAATTTAAGTCATCATTTTGTACACCTGAAACTAATAAAATATTGTATATGAACTATAATTAAAATAAGTTTTAGAAAAGACAGGAAAAAAATATCCAGGTATAAGTCATCATTATCAAATAAATAATGAGTGGTTTATTTTCCTTTTTACATTCTTTTGCATTTCCTAAAATTTTGACATCAACCATGTATTTCTTCAGATAATTAGAAAATACCTCATTTGTACGGGAATGAAATACAACTGATCTGAAGTGTGGTATTATTTATCTCTCTGATCTTCCGAATGTTGTCCACTTAATTTGATCAGTTATGTGTTAGGTTGTAATAAAGTCTAAAAACCTACATATTCTCATAAATTAATTTCAAAATTTTATTCTAAATGCGCTTTAAGTCAAACTATGATATCCACAAGTTAGTATCCTAAAACAGAAGATTAGTCCATGTGCCTATCCTCCTCTACATCTTCTGTTTAAAAGTTCTTAAGTAGCAACTTAACTGCTAACTCTAGAAATAGGCTGAGGGAAGCCAAAGGGAGCACTCACTCTATTGCAACATCACTGTATTCACACCAATGTACTCTTCTCAGCTTAAATCAGAAAAACATAGAGGAATCGAATTTCTAATGGAATCTGTATAGTAGAGCAGTCAAGAAAAATATTTTGCTGTCTACTGTCAATTATCTAAGACACTCGGGAAAAAAATGACATGGCATGAACTGTAACCATTGTCTTAGTGGAGTTCCGTAGAGAAATGAAAGAATGACAACATAGAGAGACCAAGTTCCCAGAGAGTGAGGAATCAGAAACAGAGTATCTGAGATACTTGGGGTTCTGAGCTTTCTTCAATTCTTCTCCCTCACCGCCAACTCTCTCCTAATTTTCATACATTCCATATATTTATTTTATTGTGCAAAAAAAAAGATATTTCTAGGAAGGGAAACACAATCTTCTTGATTTGTAAACAGGAAAACAAGGTATAAATAATAGTGAAATCAGAAACTGTTCCATTGCAGAGAAGTAGCAAGTGACAAATGAGTCTATGACCCCTCTCAAATAGGATGGTAATCACAGACTATTGGATCTGAAAGAAGCACTAAGTGTCATCTGGTCTGTGGCTCTCCAATTTGGCTGATCATTAAGTCCTCTGGAAAGCTTTGCAAAAATATAGAATCTTAGGTCCCATCGCTGTCGATCCCACTTCACTGGGTCTGGGATCGGCAATGAAATTGGTCCTCCCAATATGTTTTACACAGCAAGCAATTCAAGCCCCCCCAAAATGCCTTGGCTGAGTTTCTACTGGTATTTAGTGGAAAATCCAGAGCGGATGGTATAGTATATGTGCAAATGAGAGAGTTGGGGAGGGAGAGGAGGAGAGTGGCTAGGTCTAAATTCAGTTGTCTTTTATTAGAAGAACATAATTTGATTTGTAAATGAGAGAATCAGAGTATGGAAGCACAGAGTGAAGACGGTAAAAGAAGTAAGAAGGAATATATAGTTGTATATATATATAAAAAAATTGCTTGCCCCCCCCTCATCTTTCACAAATGCTATGATCTCTGCCTATATGATTCTTAGCAACTCACTGCTCCCCCTCCCCCCATGCTACTCATCTTCCTATGCCCCAGCAGTGGGGAACCTTTTTTCTTTCAAGGGCCATTTGGATATTTATAACCTCATTGGCAGGCCATACAAAGTTATCAACTTAAAAATTAGCCTGCTATATTTGGTCAAACATTTAATTACCTCACCCCTAATACATTGGCAGGGCCAGACTAAATTATTTCATGGGCCTAATAAGGTCTGTGGGCCAGATGTTCCCCAGCCCTGCTATGCTCCCCACCCCACTCCAAAACTTCAGAGTAAAGAAATTATATTCTTTTAGGCCTTCCCTACAAGTCCCTTTCTTTCCCTGCCACACACGCACACAGCTTCAGAAGAAAAGGTGTAGCAAAAAAAAAACAAACCCTGGTGGAATGAATCCCTATTGGTGGAATTCCAAACATCTTTCACCAGGAAGGAAAGTGACTTGGAAGGCAGTAGTTTTGCCAGTGTCCTTGAAATACAATTATATTAAAGTGTTTTTTGATACCTAGTCCTAACTCGAATAAAAAGTGTGCTGTATTACACTAAGGATTCTCTGTGTGGACAATCATTTTTTTTCATAATTTAGATTTGCCATTTCAGGCACCTCCAAACATCCAATTATGTAAATGTTCATCGGTAATGCCAGAACACTAAATTTTGTCATTTGTAAATTCAAGATAAAATTTCTTGCAAGATTGGACACGTGATTAACCAATAAGTATTCACTTAAGAAGCCATTTGAGCATTTGGAGTTTGATGCCCAACTATGATGATTAATTAGCTCTTTCTATGATGTGAAACAGAAATAGCAACAGATAATTTCCTTTACCCTAAAGACAGAAATGCAGAAAATCTTTAATATGTCTTGGTTTTAATTCCTTAGGAAAGGGGTGGATGGGATATTCCAGCAGATAAACAGCATGGGAAACAGATAAATTACCTGACCGTCCGTCTCTCTGGAAGTCCACATGATACCATTCTCCATCATTCACCTTCTTCTGCAGGGCTTTGATTTTTATTGTACCTGACCCCATGTCTAGGAGGAGGTAGAGGTGGCCATCCAGCATCTCAATAGCAAAGAAGTCAACCTTGATCATCTGTGGGTGCTTGGCATCTTTTTGGTGTCGTGGCTTGCCATGGCTAAATAAGATGAGGCCATTTGGCTCTGTTGTGCGGAAATCAAATGATATGGAGCCTGTTTTCTTTGCATTCCATTTAGGCAAAGAGATGAAAGACTCCGGGGTTTCAAAGGTGATTGGGTCCAAAGTTGCAACATTCTCACATTTAAATGCCACTACTCCATGGATCTTCATCTTAGGGTCTCCTTGCTTGGCAAGTCGAGATAATTCCAGCCTTACATCATTATTTTTATATACAACCTGTAGGCAGAGGATAACAGTGAGAGACCAGCTCATATTTTAATATTTAGAACGTGTTGTCATCAGCTCATGTAACTGGCAAGTAGATCAAGAAAAGGTACACAATGTTCAATGCCTTTTGATGTATAATGCCATTTTTTTCAGCCAAGTAAAATGCAAGTATCAACTCATTGAACAGTAACCATTCCAATCTAATGTCATTCATATAATGTGCCTGCACACACACAGGGAAGCTGCCTGTAGTTAACTCAAATAATTTGAATAAATCTGCCGAGAGCGTGTATTTCAAGTATGTGTAGACTTGGATTTATAAAAGCCATTTGCTTTCATTAGTTGACTATTATACTTTGTTTATTAAAATACAAGTATTGAGGTTTTTCAGTTTTCTCATGACTAAACTATCTGAAATTAAATACTTTTGTGTAACAGTCCCCTACACTACAGAATCTCTGCTAGTGTCTATATATCCATGGTGATATACAGGATGGTACAAAAGTAGGTTTACAATGGTGAGTACATGAAATACAGAGTTTATTCTTTAATTATTGTTTATGAATCATTGTATTATTTTCCATATGAACAACTGTAAACCTATTTTGTCCCACTCTGTATATGTCACTTATAAGATAATCACAAATTGAGGGGAAAAAAATCCTACATTTTCACAGAAAAGTCATAAAATACAACTAAGGTGCAGAAGCTCGCTCTTGCCCTGCCCTACATTAGTAACTGTCTGAATAATGTTACGTAATTCTGGAACACGGTGTTTACTCTGGATCCATTCAACCTGGATCACTGGCGCTCCATTTCACTTTGAATATAACGGATGTGGAGCAAAGTGTGTCCTGTACCGTCATTTCCTAAGGCCCTTCACCTAAAGTGGCGGGTGGTGCTGACCACTGGTCCTAGGGTTGTTCTGGAATCCAAATAGCACACTGGACAATCCACTGGCAGGTCTCACAATATCATGCATCTGCCATCACACCACCTTAATAAATGTAGAGCGATTGTGACATAAGAATAAAGAGAGATCCATACCCTTTCTCCACAAAATGCATATCATGGATAATTACATTCCCCCCAAAATGTAGGTCAGACAGACATAAGGGCACATTAGTTATCTATGTCCAGATAACTGTCTACAATCTTTTAAGAGGGCACTCAAAATTTCACAGCAGCCAACACTGTCAGATTCTAAACTCATTTGTCCATGTGTAAGATTGCATTTATATAACAGAAAAAGTAAGAAATCCCGTCTTTAACCAGGTCAACACAGCAGTTAATTCTTCCAAACCCAAGGCCAACTGAGCCAAGAGTTAGTGTGGCTAATGAGTTTCCCAAAATGAGGAGTTAATGGATACTTTATTTTTCAGAGTGATTAAGAGTACATGGTCTGGTATTGGATTCCCTAAGTTCAAATTCCACCTCCAGCATTACCTTCCTTTTGTCCCTCATAAGGAGATAATACCTCATACGATGGTTACAACGATTAAAAAAGTAAATGCATATAAGTGAGAAAATCCACATAAAGGCAATCAATCCAATGCCAGGCACATGGTAAGATTATCAACTACTTCAAACTGCATGATTACAAATATCATCCTCTCTTTACCAAGTAGACACAGAGATATTCGTTCTAAATAAATTCATTATAAGGAAACATTTACAAATTATGCACACTCACATAAGTGGTATTTTATACTTGATTTGTGCCAACTAAATAAGTCATATATTTCAAATGCTAGTCCTAATGTTTCAATTTACCTTTATGTTGAGGAAGGATTATGCTAAAGAATATCATATTCCCTACTCTTTGAACAAATATGTATAGTGGTTTAACAAGCTTCTATTAACAACAAAAGAAGAGAAAATGAACTTAAGCAATAGCAAAAAGGAATTAGATTAAATCTTAAGTATACTTCCTGGAAAACAGAAAGCGCTCTTAGCCTTGGGAAGGTGCTTTAGAATTGCCGTTTTTCAGCATCGTTACAAGTGGAGAAAACACTGCACAGATGATTTTCCATTTTTATAACCTCTCGCCACAATGTGCAGGCCACCCCAAATCATTGTCCATTTTCACTGGTGATTTGTATTTTAATATCTGGGAATTCTTTTGACATGGATATTGATTAGGAATGGATATTTTCTGACCCAAGTGATCAGGATGATAATGTTGAACAATGCTAACACATTTCCTTTGCAATAAACCACAGCAATGGAATTAGGCGTTTCTGACATGAGCAAGTGGGCATAAGGGTGGGTATATTGCCACACGAGTCTCACATCAGCTACCTGAAAGAGGAAGGATGTGGGGACTGAGCAAATCTAGGCGGGGGTTTCAGTGAGAGACTTGTAATGCCATCAGCGAATTGGGTGTCCTGGTGATAGGGAGGTTTAAGTTCATGCAGAAGAAAAATAGGGATTCCCTTGATCATACTACTTCGTGTTAGCCTTGTACTGTCCCTCCACCCCACACCCCAACAAAGAAAATCAATATTCACTAGATCCTGTGCTTTATGTAGGCAGGGACCCTGCTCACTACAGCCCAGCACTAAGATCAGTGCACCTGGCACAGAGTAGACACACAAAATATTTGGTGCAAGTTGAATAAAATTCTTCCTTTACTTTTTATAAAAACCTCAATCCCAGATTACAGAGTACTATTAATAACAATATTTACAAATATAATTAAAATACAATAGTATGTCCCGCTAGTATGGCTCAGTGATTGAGCATGAACCAACAGTTCATTGGTTCAATTCCTGGTCAGGGCACATGCCAGGGTTGTGGGCTCGATCCCCAGTGAGGGGCATGCAAGAGGCAGCCGACTGATGTTTCTCTCTCATTGATGTTCTATCTCTCTATCCCTTCCCCCTCCTTTCTCTCTAAAGTCAATACAGACTGTGGTACTGTGGACTAATACCATAACCTAGCTACTATTTTCAGCCTATTTCTCTAGGAAAATGGAGAAACTCCTGTGCATATAAATGGAAAGCTGGCCTATGTATTAGCAAACTTCACTTTCAAACCTCATTTTGGAGGGTGTAAATTACTTTTACAGTGAAAAACACCCGAGTTTAAATTCCCCAGAGGTAGACTCATTTTCCTAGAAGAAGTGTCTTGAGGAAAAGCACAATGTGTTTTTTTCCCCCTTCTCATTTTGTATTCTTTGAAAGGCAACTCTATAAGATAGAAAAGCAATTTTGGATGGTCAGGCAGATAGCTCTCAGCTCTACACTATTACTTCATGTGACCCAGATTTCATAATCACCATATTTTTCTAAAGTTAGACGTATCTTAAAATGGCCTGAACATAGTTCAATTATAATAACAAGGAGTAGCCAGTAAGCACTCCATCTTCTAAAAATTCTCATGTAAGCTCTTTTTTGCTTCTTTCTTTTATGTTTTTCAGTCATTTACCATTATTCAGATATCTCTTTTCTTATTTATAGCAAGTTGCAATTTATTTAATAGTTTCAACTTTCAACAAATCTCTATATACTCTAGCATCTTAATAATCAATGATGATATAGTATTGTAGACTAATTTGGATCTGTTGTGAAATCCATATTTTTTTTTGGAATATTGACTTTTTCAAGAGTAATTAAAAATGTTAAATTTCACTTCCTGCTTCGTAAGCTTATATCATTTGTCTCCAAAAGATAGTCATAGTATAAAATAGGCTTTTCTGTCATTGATTTGTTATTTGCTGTTTTAGTGGGTAGGGGTTGCTTTGTTTTCGCTGCCATATAATTTCCACACACTGCTATGATGATCTTTTTCCTTTCTTTCATCATTTGTTAGAATGTTTAAAATGCCCCTCACACTTAAATGTGGAAGAAGAGGAGTGATATGTTTGTGTTGTAGGCTTATCACTCTAAATGAATTAATGTTGTACAATATAAATGTTGTAACAAGGGTAACAGCTAACATGGCACTTGGTAGATGGTCAGGGTTTTAAAGTAATGAATAGAGCAGCAGGGTCAAAGTGATCAAAGCAAATTGGGGGGAATCCTTGCACATCCTGATATTTATTCACATTGTAGTTTAAAGTATACAGAAGACTTTCTCTGTAGATGAGGTTTCTTAGCCAGCAAATAGGAAGTAGCAATTGTAGGAGTTTTTCTTTCACTCAGGAGAGGGCTTCTGTGCATGTAACAACAAAAACGACCACTACAACAACAACCATATCAGTTCAGATTGATGAGTGTTTACTGTCTGCCAGGCTTCGTTACAAAAGATTTATATGAATTATGTGTTTACTTCTCACAAGCATCTTAGGAAATAGATAATGGTACCCTATTTTATCAACAAATATGTGCGGCCACAGAGCTCAATGAAAGTCTTACATCATGACCATGTCTAATACTGTTTGAATATCTCATGATGTTAACTTCAAACTTGGTCTTAGTATCTCAGCAGGAAATCTCAGCTGTTTATTTATTTATTTATTATTGCACTTGCTTAGTAAGTAGAAGATTCACAATCAAATAGCTATTTGCCACCATGCAAATGGATGACTTTGTTATAAGTTACATGGGATATTCCAAAGACCAGGATTTTCCCTTTCATTTGTCCTCAATTAAATATTTTTAAATGAATCAAATATTCATGGAATTTTTCATGTGCCTCTTAATTAAAATGTCTCTTCAAGTTTGATTTAAGCCAAGGGGCCTATTACTCTGTTTGCAGGACTATAATGTAGTTTTTCAACAGGTATTTCATTCATGATGTATACATTCTAAAATCCCATGTGGCTTAAGAATTACCTAAGGGGACTGTTGTTTTTCGTTGTACTTTTTGTTTGTTGTAAATGCATTTGATTCTTTTACTCTATTAAGAAAAAGTGAGGATATTTGAAATGCCCGAATTTAATTCTTATTTTCTCCTCTCTGTGATCTGTTCAAGCATCATCTATTCATAGCAATGTGCTCATTTCAAAATACAACCAAGGGTTAGCCAGTAAGTGAACAGTACAAGGGCCACCCCAGCAAGTGGGA